GGTGGCTCTGTAGCGATCAGAGGTTGCCTTCGGGAGCGTGCCGAACCGCGGCATTCCCCGGAGTAGAGAGGAGATGAATGTTTTGGCTATATTCCCCCCTTGCCCCATGTTTGAAAGTGTTGGACCATCCTACCCATCGAGCCCTTTGTCGGGTACCAAACATGCCCGTCAGGTGCAGAGCCGGGTGGGCTTTTGGGTTTCTGAGTGCTGGGAGAAAAAACGCTTACAGATTTGGTGTCTGTGCCCAAAACTGGGTAATACTTGCAGCTTGTGGGCTGTGGTGTAAAGGATCTTGTGATGAGAGTATGTCCAAAACCGCCCCAACCTCCGCACCTGCTAGAGGCCTCAGCAGAGTTTCCCCACCAATTTATCCGTTGCCACCAGCACGCGTTGGTTACCGGCTGAGATTTGTCACGGTAAACCCAGTCTGGTGTTTCTGCTGGCTGGTGCGCAGGGGTTCAGGGCCCCCTCTCGCAGACCCCCCTGTTCTCTGCCCGAGTCTCGGATCCTCTGAGACTTCCCCCTTCGTCCCTGTGGTACAACAGTGTGTATCTCATGGTGGCTGTCACGCATTCATGTTTCGGCTTTTTCCCCTCTCCACAGGTGCTGCCATTGCTGGAGTTTACAGAGCTGCGGGGAAAAAAATGATTCCCTTTGAAGCCCTCATTTTAGGAGTGGGCCAGACATTCTGTGTGGTGGTGGTTTCGTTTCTACGCATTTTAGCCACTCTCTAGCTCTTCTTCAGACGCTAGAGATCACAAATCGAAGAAAGAGCAAAGGATCTGCCGCCTGCGCCGTCTCTGAAACAAATCATGAGGGAGCGCAACTCGAGGTGTGCCTCGGCGTGTGCTTCTCCACTGGTTAAAGGATACGTGAAGGCCTGCTTCTGCCTCCAGTGCGGCTTGAAATTAAGCTACAAATTGTGAATTTTGTTACTTTTTGGTAACATTAAGTGCCAAGTGAAACTTTATTTCTCTGGAGGACAGGAAAAGGGGCTTCCAGAAGAGGAGGCCCACGTACCTTTTACCAGTGTAGCAACAGGATGTAACTAAGACGTGACCCGGGCTGTTCTGGGGTAGAAACAGTACCACAGAGTAATGTTATGTCTTCGGAGCTCACTTAATGCTTTGACCTCTCGCTGCTTTTTTTGCAGTGAACCTAAACTCTTTTAATGTGAATTTTTTAAATGAGAAACTTAATTTGTTTTCTTCCTGGCCCCAGCTTTCTAATACCGGGTTTTGGTCATAGTGAATTTGGGACAGCGAAAGGAAAAATTATTTTAGACGGATGAAAGTGCAAATTTGTGGCCGAGGGCTGTGACTATGAATGCTGCGGCAGGGCAAATAACTGGCATAAAAAGGATCGCTGTTTTTGTGAATTTTATTACGGTGAAGCTCTTCACCTTCTGCCCGAGAGGCAAAGCACAGCGCTACGCCCCGCTGCCCACGCTAGAAATCCCAGGACGCGTGTGTGAGCGTGCGCTGTTGCTTCTCAGGGTCTGAAGAAGACTCATATTTTTAAACTTCTCCATTCTCCTTTTACTTGCTGAACATGTTTACATTGGTGTGGTGATTTGGGTGTCTTCACTGATATGTAAACATCGCTGGCCGGCTTATATAAAATTCAGCACTCTGCTGCTTCGGTGACTGCGCTGGTGAGAGCTGCACGGCCGGCACGGGGTTGTCATGACTTGGAGCTTTCCAGGCGTGGAGGCAGGGAGCGCGCTGTGTTTTCAGCATGCAGCCCGCAGCGTGCCGGTGGGCAAGATGCCTGCGAGGGTCCCGGGAAGAGCCTGGGTGATTCCCGTGTCCGTGTGAACGTAGCCCCAAACCAACCCTTACCGGCAGGCAGTATGGTCTCCTCTAATGAATTGTTTTACTTTGTTTTAAGTGACTTTTAACTAACTCTTAGATCTGCCCTGGAGGCATGCCATGCAGCCGGGGCTCTCGGGTAGCTAGTTGGGCGCTTTCTGGGGGCTTGGTTTTTTGGGGGCCCTTGGGGAAGCTGAGGTTGAACCCCAAGGATGTGTCTGGGCAGTGTAGGCAGCCCTGTGGCTTTGCTGTCGTCCTTGTTTGTTTATTACCAGCTGAGAGTTGTGTGGGCCGCCGAGGGAAGGCACCGGCTCTGCCCAGCCTCCCAGGACACACGTCCCATCTGTGTTTTTGCTGAATTCCTTTGGTTTCCAAACCAGCTCGCCTTTTGTACCTGCAACATGTCGTAAGGCCAGTTATCTTCCATGAACCCCATGTCCTCTGTGCTGAAACAACCCTCAACAGGGCCATGTGTTTATCATGAAAAAGAATTTCTCTATGTACTAACTTCTCCGGAGTGGTCTCTTGACAGCTGATGGAGAGAGGTGATTTTCAGGAGCTACTTACTGAGATTACTCTAAATTTTAGCCCGTGTTAATTCAGGGAATAAAGCTGTGCATTTTAGGAAAGACTTCAAATGTGAATCCTTCTCCGTAGGTGGGTGAGGTCCAAGTGGTATAACGTATACTAAACCCTCAATCTTTGGAGTGCTCCATGCGCTGTGCTGCTTGCAGAGAGCTGGTCTTCCTACCACCGCATCCCCCGGGGGAAGTTTGGGCCTCTCCTTCCCTCTTCGCTTCTGCCCCAGTGAAAAAGCAGGAATAATGATGTCTTCAGATGTCTTTCCCCCTTCCCACTTCTTATTTCAAGTGGCGCGTGTCCAGAGTGCCTGGTTTAATTCACATGAATTATCCTGCGTTTTCCTGGATGGATTAAAAGTCCCTCGTGGGACTTAGACTGGGCAGGTCTGGCCTTACCTTTCAGGTGACACTAGAAACCAGTGTCCTGGGCACCCGCTGTGCTCCCTTTTCCCCCTGCCCCGGTGCCTGGCATCCCTTGGTAGCAAGGACTAAGCTGAACGCAACTGGGAAAGCACTTTATCAGTGTGCCACATGCTGCGGCACGAGCATGGTTCCTTTGCAGTAATGGGGCTGAGGCATGCAGGACACAAATCCGGGCTGTTAAGAGCTCAGAACAAATGAAAAAAAATTGCTCGATAAAATCACTCAGTGCTGGGAGAACTGAAAACCTCTTGTTTTCTACCCATTGTGATCTCCCATCGTCTGTTTTGAGGGGGGGGCTGCAAGAGTTGGCAGCTCAGCCACTGCTTGGCAGCTGAGTGGTTGGAGATGATGGTGTCTCCCTGTGCCCAGGCACCATGAAATTTTCAGGGAATTCTTGCATAAAAGGTGAACAATCAGCTGCTGACTTGTTTTGACAAGTATTAGCGCTGGAGGAGAGTTCTTTGCGTCGCCTCGGTACTCGCAGAGCATCCTCCGCTCCCCTGGCTGCCTTCCCACCCTCCTTCTCTGGTAAAACCAGATCCAAACGGGAAGGAGGAGTAGTTTTGAGTTGATGCACCAGATCGGTCTCTGCCGGTAGTTTCCTCCCCTCTCATAACGTCGGTTTGGTCTTCCCTTTGTGTTCCTTATCCTGAGTGAGGCGAGCAGAGGAATTCCTTCAGTTTTCAGCAGGTGTCAGTAGACTTTGCTCATTCAAACTTGCCAAAAGCTGCAAAAGGCTTGCAAAAATGTCAATGCTGAGATGTCTCGAGCTGGGCAGTGCTGTGAACCCCTGGCCAGGGAGCCCAGCCAGGAGCGTTGGTCAAGGAAACACCTTGCAGAGAAGCCGCCTGCCCTGGAGAAACATCGCTGCTCGAGCCGAGGCTCGTGGTCCTGCTTTCTGTGTGCGAACATCCTCTGTGCTGGGCTGATTTAGATGCCGCCCGACTTCCTATCTCGCTAACGACTGTGGCTGTCGTGAACAAATCTTTGTATGATAGAAAACTCTGTAAATTTTATTTTTCTACTGACACTTCTAATCCTGGTGGTGATTATCAGTAAATTCTGTAACGATCGAGGTGAATGGAGTTGTGTGTTTCTCCTGCATGGTGACAAGGGGGCCTGGGTTGGGCTTTTGGAAACGAGCCTTGCTCCTGCCTCGCATGGGGCAGGTTTCTTCTGCCTGGGGCCTTCTGCACCGGGAAAAGTCCTGGTTCTGGTCGTTAGTTTTGTCTCCATTAGGAGCTGGATGCACGCCTGCAGCCAGGCACCACAGCCCGAGGTGACATCTCGCTGCTGCTCGGCTGTTGGGGAAGGCCTCAGCCTGTTTTGAGGCCGGGAGTCCCCGTCCCTGAGTGCGGGGTCCCTGCAGCCCCCGGGCTTGGTGCTGACACGTTCCCGTCCCCCTGGGGGGGTTCTGCTGTGGGTCGGTCCCTGCGCACCGCTCGAGCTCTCCTGGGGGAGCAGGCGTGGGGGTCCCACTGTCCCCTTGCTGCTCTCAGGATGGGACCCCACACCTCACCTGCAAGGCTCCAGCTAAACCCGGGGCCGGAGCAACGCCTGCACTATGGGGTCTGCGTTGTTTTATATCAACCTACAAAGACTGAGATTGGCAAAACAAGTCTTTGTAAGGGGGTGGCAGCTGTGTGCGGCGGACATTTCCCAAGAGCTGGCGACCACACACCTTCGCTGCTCCCCCAGACCCCCCAGCGAGTGCGCTCTGAGATCAAAACTGGCCTGAAAAATTCACATCCCGAGTTGGCAGGGGTCCAGGAGGCTTTATTGGCAGT